TATTGGACAGGAGATACTGCTCCAGCATCACAAGCACATCCCATGGCTGATACATCTCGCCAATCTTTGCAATCGCAGAATGTTGATTTACTAGCCATGCTGCAACCAAAGGAGAAACCTCAAGTTGCTACTGGTAATTCTGGACTGCCACTATGGCCCAATTACCCTGAAGCAAGAAATGTTAATCCTAACATGCATGGTGGAGATCCTGCCCAAGGGGCTCTTAATATGCGTCAAGATCTGCAGAACTCCCAGAACATTGGTATTGGTGTTCAACAGCACAACTTAATGCCACAAAACCGACCAGCTTTGGCTCATTTGCCACCTGAGAAGCTTGCCGAGATATCTCAAGATCCACAGCTGTTAAATATGCTTCAGCAGCAATATCTTTTGTCACAACTACAGTTGCAGTCACAGTCACAGACACCTTTGACACCTCAGCCACAACTCTCTATGTTGGACAAGATGTTATTGCTCAAGCAGCAGCAGCAACTTCAGCAGCAACAGCAGCAGCAGCAACAACTGCAACAGCAGCTGCAGCTGGAGCAGCAACAAAAGCTATTGTTGCAGCAGCAACTACTTTCTCAGATGGTACCTCACGTGCATCCCAATCAGCACACTGATGATTCTTATACATTGAAGCATACTTTTGTGCCATCTGATGATTCTATGGGTCTTGGTCTTAGAAGAATGCAAGAGGCTATCGAAGCCGATCGGAAATTGCCTGTCCATGGTATGCAGGTGGGGCAACAACCTAGTCAGTCAATTATGAATTTTAGAAATATGGATGGTGTAGCTTTGTCGCAAAGCTCTGTAACTACACTGCCGGTGCACCATGAAACTGCTGTGGGTGCACTTCCAAAAGAGCATCACTCCCGTCCTGGAATGTTGGAAGATTTTGCGAATGTCGACTTACAATTGAAATCAACTATGGTAAACTCAAAGCTGGTGGAAGTTGCAGATAGAAACGAGGGGTTTAAATTGCACGAAGTGGGCACTGCAGCAGAAAAAAACAAAATGTCTGGAAAGGATTTGGATTCTGGATCTACTAGGATCATTGGGAGTGCTTCAGATGAGGCTAAGGATTTACATGAACCACCACTAGATCCAAAGTCAGAAAATGTATTATCTGATATTTCTGGTCAGGTTCAAGAATTGAATCTGTCGGCAGAAAATACCTCTTCTGGCATTGCGACAGCTGTGGCAACTGAAGTAAAAGTTACTGATACACAGGAGACCAAGAAAGCAGAAAAGAAAAAGAAGCAAAAGAAAAAACAGGCTGCTGCAGATGCTGGCAAAGGAGCATCAAAGGCAGTTTCAACCCAGCAGCCAAGGCAGGAAACTGAGGTTGACAGTTCTGATCTTGGTGGTAATAAGCATGATTTACCAGATGATACAGAGGAACTATTTTGGGGTTCACCTATCAGAGTGCAAAATGAGATTTTACCCCCCAAAAGTCTTCCAGAGGAATATGATGCTGACAAAGCTGAATCGCAGTTTAGTTCTCTATCATCTGATCCTCATAGCATGGCAAGCCAGCGTGCATGGAAACAACCTACTCAGGGTCTCAGGCCTAAGTCACTGCTGGAAATCCAAGCTGAGGAACAATTACGTGCACAGAAAGGATTAGCTACTGATACTGCTAAGCCAGCAGCTTCAGTCCCTTCAATTCCTTGGAATGGCATGGCAATATCATCCGAGCAACATTATGGGGGTTCAAGTAAATCATTGGGAAGCATGGAAAGTGCTGGTGAGAGGAATAAAAGAAGCCAGTTGCATGATTTGCTGGCAGAAGAAGTTCTGGCGAGGTCAAGCATTGCAGATAATGAGAACATAGGTAATGCCAATGATGCATTTTACCCTCCTCTGTCGCCTGCTGCTGTTCAGCCTCAGCCTGATGCTCCTGCTCTTGATGATAATGACTTCATTGAGGCCAAGGACAAAAAGAACAAAAAGAAGGCAGCAAAAACCAAAGCTTCTACTGTGAAAGCTCCATCACCTGTTGGTTCCTTTGATCCACCAGCTATTTCCATGCCCTCTGAAAAAGGAAAGTCTGCCAAGCAAGCACAACAGGAGTTAGAAATGTTGCCAGCTCCACCAAGTGGTCCATCCTTTGGAGATTTTGTTCTTTGGAAGAGTGATCAGACTAGCTCTGTGCCTGCTCCAGCGTGGTCTAATGACTCAGCAAAGGTGCAGAAACCTTTGTCTTTGAGAGATATCCAGAGAGAACAAGAAAGGAGAACCGCTTCTATCCAGCAACAGGCGCCCTCACCAACTCCAGCAAAGGTGGCCCTGAACCAAAAAGGTCACGGGAATGCTTCTTCCTGGCAAGCTTCCGGATCATCTCCATCACAAGCAGTTGCCCCTGTCCAAATGAGTTCCAATGCTCCGAGTCGTTCTAAGTCAAGTGCTGAAGATGATTTGTTTTGGGGCCCTTCTGAGCACTCCAAACAAGATAAGAAGCAGTATGTCTTGCAGCAGCTCTTATAATTGAATTAATTTGTTTGGTGTTGCTTTCAAGATGTTATTACAAGTTTAATTCTGGATTCTACGCTTACAAAGGATTAGTGAATTTATTAATATACTAAATTAGCAAAATATGATTGAACTTCATACTAAAAATAATTGCAGAAAGGATCTCTTTTGAAATTAAATTTAAAGCTTCATTCCCTTATCTAGTTTGTTAGACTTAAGATCCTTGCTTTTCTCATTGGTGTTTTTGGATCGCAAAAGATGGATATATGGATCTGCATAATTTCTGAGAATTTTTATGTTTTATCTTTTATATCGTTACCAGGTCGGAGTTTCCAACTCTGTCGAGTCAGAGCAGAAGTTCCATGATGAAGGATCAATCTCCACTGAATCATCAAAAGTCTCAGGCAGGCAGATTGCCAGTTTCTTCTGCTGCTACTGCCAACCAATCTGGCCAAGGGAAAGCAGAGGCTGCAAACAAGCAGACTGGTATAGCTAAAGTTAGTCGCATTCTTTAAAGACTATCATCACGTTCAAAGTTCTAACAACTGTCATTATGCAGAGGCAATGGACTTCAGAGATTGGTGCGAGAGTGAATGGGCCAGGCTCACTGGAACAAATGGTATCGAACTGTGCCGTTAGCTCTTGCTTCAAGTTAGGATAAATTCAAATCTTTTGTATTACTTTTGTTAATCTTGCTGTACTTCCCCTTTCAGATATAAGCTTCCTTGAGTTCTGCATAAAGCAATCCACTACTGAAGCGGAAATGTTCCTTCATGAGAACATTGGCTCTCTTGACCGCAGCCACCAGTTCATCGACAAGTTCCTCAACTACAAGGCCTTCCTGTCAGCAGATGTGCTCGACATGGCCTTCCAAGCTCCCAGCACGCGTGGTACCCGCGGTGACGGCGCAGGGCGGGCAAACCCTGCCGCTGCAGCCAGAGGAGGCACGAGCGCGGACGCGGAGCTGGATGGCGGCGGGAAGAAGAAAGGCAAGAAGGGGAAGAAGGTGAGCGCGGCGGTGTTGGGGTTCAACGTGGTGAGCAACCGTATAATGATGGGTGAGATCCAGAACATGGATTAGGAGGGGACGGCACACCACCGTTGTACATAGACCTTTTGGTTTTCCGGCTAGGACATCCATCGCCGCATGACCCATGTAGTACATACATAGTTTGACCTCTGGCTACATGCCGAAGTTTTTCGGGCTCAAGGGAAGCTGGGGTGTCCTGGCCTGTCGGTGCTCCAGGTTGCTCGGATTGGAGCAGTGGAGGCGTTTGACCTGTTTTTGCTGAGGGTGGGAAACAGAGCTTAGATGCAGGGTCATGTGGTTGGTGATTTTGGGTTCCTGTAACATTTGGTTAGGATCCTGTAACAGACAGAAAATATTTTCGTCTCAATAGGAACTCACCAGAGAACATAGATGGATTCAGTTCAGTACTTAAGTCTGTTGCTGTTGTGCTGTTGTGATGTGGTTCACTACTTGAAGTTGTGGCTTGTGGTTTGGTTTACCCCTTGTCCTTTGGCACGGGGTCGGCAGTGGCCTCAGCGCTGCTATGGCCGTCGGCGGGCTACGTTGGCCTCGAGTACCTCGGGGCCATCGAAGGCAGATTATTAGTGGGCTCCAAAGGCGGAATCCCTGGCTCACCTGATGTGGGCCGAGACAGAGACGATCTAGAATTAGAGCTTTTAATTTAGTTAACTCTAGTGATCGTAGTTGATATGTTTTCTGCCGAAAGGAATTTGAATGCCATTCTGGTTGTCAAAAAAAAAAAAATGCCATTCTGAAAATTCTGAAAAAAACTGGGCTTTCAGGCCTGCTCAGAAGTTCCCAGGATTTTTTTATTACTTATTATATCTTGCGCGCAGAGTTTATCTCAAGTTTTAACCTGTCGAATATAGATTGCCCCGAAAGAGCTTCAAATATCCCATAATAAAGCCCATGTTTAGTTCCAACCCAAAATCCCAAAAAGTGTTACAGTAGTCATCACATCAAATGTTTGCGGTCCGTGCATAGAGCATTAAATGTAGACGAAAAAAACTAATTGCACAATTTGGTGAAAAATTACGAGACGAACGTTTTGAGCCTAATTAGTCCATGTTTGAACACTAATTGCCAAATAAAAACGAAAGTGCTACAATAGCGCAAAATTCAAACTTCTTGAAACTAAACACGACGAAAGTCGCAGAAGGTGTTACCTCATAAAACAATGGCAAGATACACTATGGTGCCATAGTTACATGTACGTTCTTGATGCGGAGAATATAAACAAACAAATGGCAAGGTGGTTATCGTGCAAAAATCAAAATTTAGATTAAACTGCAGCTTGCATTGCAAGTAAAGCAAGTGCAAAAATCAAAATTTAGATTAAACTGCAGCTTGCATTGCAAGTAAAGCAATGACACTTTACCCACCAAAATTCGACATATCCGATCCCAGCAAAGTAAACTATAATCTTGTGTTTACCCTAAAAAACTGAAATCTACATTATACTGCCTAAAAAATTGAAATCTACATTATACAATGACTAATCCCAAGAGGGCTCCGGCGGCTGCGTCGTCGGAGCCACGGCCGGCGGGGACGGCTCGTCGGCACGCGCAGAGTAGCGGCTGAAATCGGGGCGGACCGACGGCACGTACGCGGGCACGGGGGTCAGGTACACGTACGGCCGCAGAGGCGGCCCCACCGGGTAGAAGCTGGAGCTGAAGGCAGGTGGCGCCGCCTGGTACACCGCCGTCTTGTATCCCGGCACGTACGGGTACGCGTACGGCTCGCCGTAGTAGTAGCCATTGTAGCCGGATCCTGTAGCGGGGCCGTACGAGCCGGGGAAGCCGTAGCCGTACCTGTCGTAGTAGTACCTGTAGTCGTAACCGGAGCCGAGACCGAGAGAACCTGGGCCCGAGCCGCCGCCGTATCCGCGGTAGTACGGGTACGCCGGCTCGGCGTACGTGTAGTCGTAGTTGCTGTTGTAGTGGTCGTAGTAGGGGTTCTCCATGACACGGCCCTGCCGGCCGCCTGTATTACCAGAGGCGGCGGCGGCCCCGTCGCCGTCGCTGATCTTGGCGGCGCGATCGAAAGCCGCGATGTTGGCCCGGTACTCCTTCTCGATTTCTCTGTCTTCCGGGGTGTAGTAGTCCGGGTACTCTTCCTCTTCGTCGTCCAACGACTGCGCGCCGCCACCGTCTTGCTGAGACGACGACTGCGCTGCTTTATTGTCCGGCTCCGACGGCTGCGCACTGGCCTCCTCCTCGTCGTCGTCGTTGCTCTCCTTCTGCTCCTCCTCCTCCCCGGCAGCGGCGGTCTCGCCGGCGTCATCCGGGTTCTTGGATGGCTTATTGTTCTCCTCTCCTGCAGCGGTGGCGGCGACGGCCTGCTCTGCCTCCGCATCGTCCATCGCCTCCTCCTGCTGCGAGAGCACGTAAATCCACTCCTCGCCGCCGGCGCCGGCCATTGTCGCTTCTAGTTCTAGTTCTCTTTTCCAAATCGATGATTCGCTGTTGCTGCAGATTGGATATGGATCTCGTTCTTGTTATTGTCACGGCGTCGTGAGATTGCCCCGGATATCTATTTATTGATCGGGACGGAAGGCGGCGGCTGGACTCCAAGTCCATCTCCAATGCGATCACCTCTGCTTGCTTCCATATCCATATCTGACGACGAGGACGTGTCCGTTTCCGTTCCGCCTCGTACTGGAGGTCCAATACGTCCGCAAAGGACGGAGGCGTAAACACAAAATACGTAACTGAAGCCCGAACACGTAGATACTACAATCCCCTTTTCGGAATCCGCCATCCTTCATTTTTTTCAGTCAGACGCACGAAAAGAGCTGTCGTCGGTCGGTCTCGGTTTGGTTCCTTCCTCTTCTTCCTCTTGTCCGGCCGGCACCGGCAGCTAGCCATGGCCTCGAACGGGAGCAGCAGCACGGTGAGTCCGGCAACTCCTCTCTTGTCCCCGGATCGGGCCAGGTATCGGCCGACGCTGGCGGGTTCCTTTGCGTTTCCGTATGATTTGAGCTGGGATCTCACCGGGAGCTGCTGGGAATTTCTCTTGCTCCTCGCTCTTGCGTCGAGCGGACCGCAGGTGGTGGGCGAGATGCAGAGCAGCTTGGACCGGGTGCGGCGCCAGCTCTCCTCCACCTCCACCCGCCACCTCCTCCAGGGCCCTCTCTTGAAGCGATCCGACACGGTAAATCCACTCCCTTCATTTCCCCTTCTTTCTGGATTTCCAGTTTGGTACAGGTTCCCTGTCTCGATGTCAATAGAAATTACTGCAGGAAACAGCTAGAAAGCCAACCTGTGCTGTTATTGCTGACGCTTGGATACCGTTGCGAGCCTCTAGTTAACATCTGTTGGCTGTTTACCTGTCAACTGTCATTTCCTCTTATTTGCAAATTCAGTTCCTTGCTAGTGTAGCCGTGTATAAACCATCTAGTCTATGTGCGACTTCTGAGGTGTTCTCCATTCTCATAGCATTGCTATTTTTGTTTGGATTCCACGTTGTCGCTTCCACTTATGATGTTTCTTCTTTTTACTCATATATATCAGCTAAGAAAGTGGAATGAGCGCTGGGTCATACTTGATCCTACAACTGGAAAAATAGAATACAAGTACGGTAACTGCAGAGTTGTTTTCCTTTTTGCCAAAGAGGCGGTACCTGAAACGCCAAATGAATGACACCAAATTTTTTGGATGATGTAGGGTCCATAGGAGTGACAAAGATGTTAGGGGAGTAATCGTGTTTGATTCGATAAGCACAGTGACACTATCGCCTATGAACTTCCAGTATGGACCTAATTCTATTCTAGTCCGTCATGACTTTTGGATATACGCTGTGGAAACTTTGTAATGACCTGTGCAAACTCTTGGTGCAGTGGACTGGCAAAATACGATGGATGCTGTTTCTGTATCCTTATGGGGTATCTTTGTGTTATAATGTTTCCTCTCTTCTCCTTTTGTCTAGATTTGATTCGCTGCGTTCTTTGACTAGTGTTCTAGATATTGGAACTCCACAGAAAAAGGAATACTTTCTTTGTGCAGAAACTCCCAGCGCTGCAAGAGCATGGGTATCCACTTTACAGTAAGCTTTGATAATCTACGGTTCTTGATTATATTTATCTTTTTAACTTTTGTATTCCCTGAAACCGGTTTTATCCTGAACCATGAGTTTTGCATTACTGTTGGATTATCTCTTCCCTGCCACTGGACTGACTAAGATTAAATGAACATTAATTGAATATATGTTGAATCTGCTATTTGCACTTGTACAACTGGGTCTATAGTGGGTTGCTGTTTGATTTGTTCCTGTAAGTGTCAGTATTGGCAGAACTGAAAAGAGGAAAAAAATAGAAAACCATATTAGTGGACTAATCCCTTTGTCCTGGATCCTAGATATTTAAGACAGATTAAGAGAAATTTCAAAAGACCCATGCATCCTTGACTTGAACTCTGCTATTTAGTTGATGCATGTATGGTGGCTGTGGTTGGTGAATTTAGAGAAGGCCTTGCTCAACTACCGCACACATAATGGCAAATCACGCAATTTTTTACGGGTAGGTTTATTTAAATGGAAATTCATGCAATTTACTCATTAATGAAAACATTTGAATGCTTTGATCCATTGTATTCTAGGATGGAGGGAGTAGACTTTCATGTGTAAACACTAGAATTAGCAGATGTGAAACTCCTTGTTATTTTATTGTGTAATTTCTAACCAGAATCAGAAACGTTGAAAATTTTGCTCTATTTGGTGCTCTACTATGGTATTCTCATTAGCTGACCTGGATCACTGCTCACCACTTCCCCAATGATTAGAAAAGCTTCCTGTAAATAGTTAGTGCTACTGGCGCTCTTGTTCCAAAGTGAAACAAAGAAACAGTTGCTTGTAGCATCTTGCAAAGAAAAGGGTTTCATTTGGTTCCCTCATTGATAATGTTACTTGGTTGCCCATTTATCAGAAAAAGAACATGATGAAACATGTCATGCATAATGTGCTATTAAATTAATGCAGTATAACGTATAACTAGGTTATGGCTTTACAATAGCCTCAGTATATATAATATCCCTTCCCTTAAATTTCGTTTGGTTGATGTATGATATGTTCGATGTGCACAGATCTATCATTTCCCATTTTGTGTACTGCTGTTATATCTGCAGACCTTGAAGCCTAGTAATATTTTCTTGCTTCATATGCAGTGCGACTCAGTTGGTACTACAGGCTCATAAGGAGGCCGTGAATTCATTGGGTGAGAATGGTCCTGCAAAATTGGGAACAGTTGCAACTGTTGTGGCTGTAGCCAATGCCACTGCAATTGAAGCAACAAAGGAGGTAGAGGCTGCAATGAAGATTTCCCTGCGGGCAACTTTGGGCTCAACTACAAATAAACTTACCAAAGGCCAATTAGATGATCTCACAATAATGATGGTATGCTCTTCCATATACTACTTGTACATAAGAGTACCTGAATTACTATTCAGTAATTGAGCAGTGGATGCTAGAATTGCTGATGTAATGTACATAAGACCGTGCTCCAAAAACCAGCAAATGGTGTGTCCTATAGACTTTAGTTGCTGAAACCATTTATGCACTGTGAGAAGCTATACTACTTTGTATAGATGATAACTTTTTTTTTTTTGCCAAATCAACAAAATATTGCTAAATCAACAGGAATTTTGTCAGTTACCAGCCAATTTCCTGGCATACTAAATTTGCTGCAACCAACAGGAGATATATATTCCCTTTCAGCACCCTGTTGCTATAGCTGGATTATATGACAACAATACTTCATAAAAGTTCACTGACTGACTGAAAACTGATTTGTAATCCTGTGATGCAAAAGTTGATAATGAACTTATCATCTATAATAAAACATTTAAAGCTCATATGATGGATAACTTTATTGTAGTCTGTCTTTCAAAGCGATACTTCTAAAACTATAATATGCTATAATTTGATGATTGGATACTGAAATTGTTTTCTTGTTTCTATTTTTCTGGCAATGGCAATGCATCTGCGACCAACAGGAGACCCTTCGAGTTAAAGACGACGAACTCCACCAATTGTTACAGGATATTCGTGCACGTGATTCTACCATCAATGAAATTGCAGAAAAGTTACAGGAGACTGCAGAAGCAGCTGAAACTGCTGCTTCTGCAGCACGTTCAATTGATGAAGAGAGAAGATTTTTTACGTCAGAATTTGAACGTCTGAAACAAGACCATGAGAAACAAGTTGAAGCATCTTTGCTTAGGGTAACAATCGCATACAGTACACATATCTTCTAATGCTTATTAGTTAAAGTGTTATAGACTAGATTCAGACCACCATGAGAATGCTTCATGTCAATGAAAATATTTGAACTTGTCTGTATTTTTGTTTCAGTTAAGGGAATCGGAGGAGAAAGCAAAGCTTCTTGTTGAAGAGAGAGATCGTTTGCTAACAGAGAGAGATTCTGCTCTTCAAGAAGCTCAGATGTGGCGCTCAAAACTAGGAAAAGCTAGAGGAAATGCTGTAATTCTAGAAGCAGCTGTTGTCAGAGCTGAAGAGAAAGCTAGGGTCTCAGCAGCTGATGCTGACATCCGCATAAAAGAATCCATGAGCCGATTTGAGTCTGCCATCAAAGAAAAGGAGGATCTCCTAGCCCTTGTGGATGCTCTACAATCTCAAATACAAAGGTTTGGCGTCTATAATTCTATTTGATTTACTTTTGTTTTCATCCAGTTGCAAGTTTCTCAAACTAGATTCTTTTAGAGATAGCTTAATGGGAGATTATATGTTTTCCAGGCAAGAGACTAGCACAATACAGGTTTGTGAAGAGAGCTCGGAGCTCTGCACTACTGCTTCGAAGCACATGGAAGACGATAATGTTGATAAAGCTTGCGTAAGTGATACAGATCCAATACCAGTTACGGAGAACATTGTTGAGTTGGATGACGAGGGAGTTGATATCCCTACAGTCGGGGACACTGAGTGGGATAATCCCCATTCTTCTGAAGTGTCTGATGTAAGGGAAGTAACCACAGAACCCGAAGAAAACAGCTTGGATATTCCTGTTGATACTTGATGGCCAACCTTTTTGTGAGAATTGCTTAGAAGGCTTAGCTGGGACTGTGGCCATTCTTGTTCACCGTGATGAGTTGTATTAGTAGATTCTTATTTTAGTTCAGTATTGCATTCTTGTTCAAGTTTCAGCATGAGTTCGTGAACTTGAACCCCCTTTAAACATGTGCTCTGGCCCTGCTGAAATAAAATAGCACAACTGTGTTGAGCGTGTGTGTATACCTGAACTTTCATGTTTAGAAGATCATCTTTGGCAATTTTTTTGTCTCATTCAGGAAATTCTTGTTGTATCCTGCAAACTGAGCGTTTGAGCCAGTAAATTTGCACTAATTCTTTGTATTTATGAACAATATAAAGAAGTAAATTTGGCATTTCTTGCCTTTCATTTGAAATGATATTATATATAGCTGCTGGAAAGATAAAACAACGCTGGCCGCAATAATGCAGTCACCAAGAAATGGTATGTGCTAAACCATTACAAGGATGGAGAAGAAAAGTTCAATTACACGCAGGCAGTTTGAATCTCCATTGGAAGAACATGTCTTACCAACTTGCTGATGACTGTTGAATTGATCTCATTGCAGAAGGGGCAACGCTGGCCGCAATAATGCAGTCACCAATAAATGGTATGTGCTAAACCATTACAAGGATGGAGAAGAAAAGTTCAATTACACGCAGGCAATTTGAATCTCTATTGGAAGAACATGTCTTACCAACTTGCTGATGACTGTTGAATTGATCTCATTGCAGAAGAGGCAAAGGCATACTAAAAGTCCCAGTGTTCCACATTGTGTTTTTGAGTGTCAAAACTGAAAGCACCTTATACTATAATAACGCATTAAAAATTAGATCTCAATTCTCAAGACAACACAGCAGTCATGCACGCACGCGTGTATCTTTTGTATTTATTAAAGATATAAGAGGCATACACATGACCAGAAATCATCAAAATTTTGAAGTCATGGCTACTTGCTGACCAAACACTGCTTTGTTTACTTACCACGGTAAATTCAGGCAGTGACATACTTTTGAGGAAACATCAGCCGTGATGACATGAGGAGCGAGTATTATTATATACCTATGAAGGATCCCTAATCTTTCCGCCATCAAGCTCGGTTAAAAAAATGATCTAATTAAGATAAGCAGATTCATGCAACCACGCATGAATATGATCGCAATTTACAGGTTCACAACGGAGCTACTAGGATGTTACATTTGTCTTCAGGTCAAAACCCCTACTTGGACATGCATGGACGGCTGTCGGCCGTAGGCCGTAGCCACTTATCTACTACCCCCATCATACAGGAAAGCACATTCAGGTGTAGTTATCATGCTAAAATGTTTGTAGAAATTCCCTTTTTGAACTTATGTTCATTACCAGAAAAAATAATTTGTATCACTTGGAGCTGCTATATCATGGTTTATAAAGGAGAGAGATTCATATCTTGCATTGGCACAAATTATAAATGTCCTGACACTGCATGATTGATTATGTTTTACTAAATCTTGTAATCTCACGGTTCTCATTAATTTGTTTAGGAATAAAGCAGCCTTTATGGAATGTTGTGCATAGATACCAAATTAACTTTGGACTTAGCGTGGTTCGTAGCGTTAGCACGGACATGTGTAACCTATGAGGCCGATGCATGTGTAACCTATGAAGCTCACGAGAAACTGACAATATAGGCATGTGTAACCTATGAGGCCGATGCATGTTTTATATTTAGCCTACAATTACCTTGGGATTTAATGTGGATGTTGCATTAGCACGGGCAATATACTATCTTGTTAGTATCTGAACATTCTTGTCATGATATAGATTGTGGTGTCTACTAAAAGTTGGCATGATTGTGGTGTTTTACAGTTGACATGATTAAGTTACTAAATGTATCTTTCTCTACAGTTTCCCAGTTTCTCGTGAGATCCTTCAAGAAAGTTGAATTGTAAGTTCCCCGTAAATAATTCACATATAGTCCATTTAATTAATAATTCCTCTATTTTTTAATGTATGATATTTAGAACAAGCTAATTTCAATCTTCAATGCAACATAGCTGCAGCCATCCGCAATTGTCTGGACCATCTCATGCTTGCTAGAAGCAGAGAAGATTTTGGTAGAAAGGTGCTTCACACACACCTTGCTGAACATTTGCCACGGCGATCAATGCAACCAAGACATACTTATTTACGCCTCTGTATCTAGGGTACAGAATATACCTATTGTAGTTCTAACCCTTTGAGTGGGTCCCATGAAGTTATCAATGTATTTCAAATGAGATCAGTGCTAATGTATCTAACTCAATGTATCATTGTTTTTTAGTGAATCTTAAACATACCACATCTACGCTTTGTTACTAATGCATATATTATCTTTTAAATGTTTGATTTGTACTACCGAAGGTCACCATAGTGTTAGCACGGAAAAAATATTATCGTTAGTTGTTTTTACGTGTATCCCTAAAATAAAGCCGTGGCGTTAGCACCTGCACTATACTAGTCTCTACCCCTATAATACACCACTTTAAATTATCATACAGCCACCAAACAAATCCCACCTCTACAGTCACGACCTAAACTACGTCCACCCCACAAAATGCACACAGAAAAAGATGACATTAAAAACGTGCACACCAGATTAACTCTCACTCATTCTCTCTTCTTACTCAACCACATCCGACGGCCGGCAGATATTCTTTGATCTCCCACCCCCGATCTCCCCACTTCACACGTCGGGTCTGATGCGAACGTGACTGCGGCTTCCCGTGGTGCTCCTCTCCTGCTCCCTCTTCTTCCTCGCCGGCTTCTTCGGCTCGCTGCTCTTCACCCAGGTACGCGACGGCGAGCCCCGCAGCACGTTCCGATTCGTTGCTGCCCTGTAGCGCCGCTCCTGATCTAGGTGGGCTGGCTGCGGTGCGGCGGTTGGCGCGGTGCAGGATCCGGTGGAGGCGGACATGCCGGTGCCGAGGGAGCGGCTGCTGGAGACGGCGTGGTCTGAGATGCCATACGGCGAGTCCGGCGAGGCTACGCCGTCCGTAATCCCATACCAGGTGATGTCTCGTTCCGGTTCCATCTCCGCAAGGGCGGTTGCCCCACATTCGGCGTGATGAGCATTGGTGCGGGCACGCATGTTCGTGAATTAATTCTAAGCTAGCTCATGAATGAACTGACTTTGGTGGCGATATTCCTCGGTTAGTAGAATTCATCTTTTGGGTATTTGATGTGAATGATATCATGCAGCGACCCACTTTGGGGTGAAACTAACTTGTCAGTGTAATGTTTCCCCAATTTTGACTGTACCTTGTGGGCAGCGGTTTTGCTGTGATGCCCTGATAACTAGCATGTGATTGTGGCGGAGTTTGGGGGTCAGTTGCGTGCATGCAATTTTCGTGGCCTCATGGTCTTGCGTGTTGGGAAGATTGATAAGCATTTCAAATTTAGCAGGCTTCCTGGCATAAGAGGAAAATGCAGGAGGTGTGGGTGTTGTGGGACTTTCGTGGCACCCTCACCAATCACAGTTGTATCTCTGTTTCTGCCATCGTGCAGCTAATGTAGGTTCCTATTACTCAAGAACAGTTGTTGCAATGAATGGATGCAGCACATTTAGATTTTATTGTGTTTATGCATCGAACAATTCTGCAGAGTATCGGCTACATTGAGCATACTTTTGTGGGTATAGAATGGGTTGATTTGATATCGTGCGAACAATTTATACACCCTAGATTTCTCACCGTGACACGAGATACGCATCTGACTTCTGACATTTAGCTTATGGCTGTGCATCCTATATCCTGGTAGGCTGACACTACTTGTTTGCAGGGTAAGAATTCAGTAATATCTTTAATTGTATTTCTTCTGTTACATAATACACCATGACCTCAGCTTCACTAGAAATTGCTGGGTTTTTTTTTTTCCATTTGTCATTATGTTCCTGAAATCCACCTGTGCTGTTTTAATAATGTATTCTGAACTCTTGAGCAGATTTTGAGCTGGCAGCCTCGTGCTTTGTACTTTCCACAATTTGCGACATCAGAACAGTGTGAAAATATAGTAAAAACTGCAAAGGAGAGACTGAAGCCATTAACATTAGCCCTGAGGAAAGGAGAAACCATGGAGAGTAAAAAAGGAATCAGGACAAGGTAACCTTAAAGTCCAAGAGTAAGTGCGGTAAAGGAATAAGCAAATAGGCTGACAAATCAGTCCACATTTATTACTGTGGAGAGATTTTGCAGTAGCTTTTTCTATGGATTGTACTTATCCTGCAATGAGCAATGCCATCTCAGAACTGCCTATTTTTAGGAGATGGTTTTTCAAAAATCATCGAAGCATATACATCATTTTGGTTGTTTAATTTGTGTTGTTTTAAATATTACTGTAGCATTAACACGGGCAATATACTATAATTAATCAAATATTTATAAATTTTGCAAAATCAACAGTTTATAACCCAGTTTGGACGAGATCTGCGATGTTGTGGCAAACTAGACCACAAGAAACTGGCATAAGTGCTCGAGTGCTGGCCTGACATGGAATACAAATTTAAAGATTGCAGCAATGTAAGATATGTTCAGTGTACTTCTTTATATTTTATTTATATATATTATACTTTTTTAAACACTTATATTCTATGTTATATGAGAAAAAACTTTACTATGACTTCTTAGTTTCCCGGATTGTATACATGCTCAAAGATGTTGTGTAAAAGTTGAACTATGGAACAAAAACATTGGTTGTTTTCATGTGCGTCTCCAAGATAAATTCGTTGCGTTAGCACGGGCATTATACTAGTATATATTAGTATTACTGTTTCACCGATTCAGAACACACTGTCAAATATCTGTTCAGTAAGTAGCCTTGAAAATGATATGTGTAAATATTCAGCCATGTATATTATATGCCCATCTTGAATTATTATATACTACCTCCGTCCACAAAATAATGCAATTCTCGTCTCTCGAGAGTCAAAAAGTTTGAATTTTGATTAAATTTATATAAAAAACACAAACATT